TCGCTCACTTTTTTCGATCAAATTTTTCGATTTTTTTGCAACTTTTTTGCTTTTGCATCGATTGACCTGAAATTTTAAATGCAAAGAGACTTCACTAATGTTAATAATATGATACAGTCAAATTTTGTACGTCATTTCCGATTTTCAACAGGAAAGCGACTGAACTTCAAATCTACTTCCGGTTGAATAACTTCCGGTGTAATTTATGTAGGTCAACAAAATTTGGCTGATCTTTGGCAAATAAAATTTTATGGCCGATTTTAAAATAAAATCCAGACCGAAAGTGATACTTTGGCCGCCATATTGAAAAAACACACTTTTGTAAAACTCAAAATGGGGCCTCAGGGTAAAAGTTGATATGCTCAAATTTGATGTGAATGTATTCTGCAATCGATTGCGCAAAAGACATTGGGAGCCGAATTTTGAATTTCGCTTTTGCTTTTTTGCAACTTCCGGTTGAAATTTTTTAAAGCTTTAAACGATCACACCATGTGACCTTGACCTTCATAGGGTCAAAGGTCATTGACCTTGGCTATCATTTGATACTTTGACCTTTGACCTCCGACATGTACTTCCGGTTTTATAGCTATCCGTAAAAAGCCAAATTCGCAACTTTGGACTGCTCTAGCACGTGACCTAATTAACCTAGAGGGTTAATTTTTTCGGTTTCCTAATGTGCTTCTCATGCCCTTAACATAGATATATAACAATCGTTATTTTAAAGCAAAATTGAAATTCGGGATTTTTTTAAATTTGAGTTTTTTTTTTTACAATATTTGCGTTTTTTTTAGCTTGGTATATGTATATCTTATGATCTATTTGATGTAGAACCTTGATATTTGGAATACAAGTAGACACTTTGAATATGAATTCACCTATGACAAAAAATCTTATGTGGGCGTGGCACATCCGGGTTGAATTACTAATTGTTTACATTTAGAGGCAGGGGCATAACTCGCATAGGATGCGTTTGTTCAAAAAGGGACTTTGCACACAATTACCTCATCCTTTTGGCCAGTTTGTGTTAACAGCTCAGTTGTTTCAGCCTTATAGTTCCAAAAAAGGAACGGGTTTTAACATTTGGATTTTTTCATTTTTCGATTTTGACCTTTGTTGACGTTTGTTGACCTATATGTTTTGACCTATATTATGTAGGAGCTTAACATCCTAAATATCAATTAACCTATGCAAAAAAAATTGAAGTGGGCGTGGCACATCCGGGTTAAATTACTCATTATTGACATTTTTGGCCAGGGGCATAACTCGCAAAGCATACATTTGTTCAAAATGGAACTTTGCATACAATTACCTCATATATTGAGCCACTTTGTCTTAAAAATTCGATTGTTTCCGCTGCATAGTTCAAAAAAAGGAACAGGTTTTGGAAATTCAAAATTTTCAATTTTTGACCTTGACCTTTGTTGACCTTGACCTTTGTAGGATCAAACGTCATTGGCATTGGCAATCTATTTATACTTTTTTATTTGCCGTCTTATGTCAACTTCCGGTTTTATAGTCGTGTGCAATTAGAAATTTTGATGACGGATATCTCTTGATCTTGACCTTTTTAGACCTTCTCCTTTACAAGATCAAAGGTCATTGACCTTGGCTATCTGCTAATACTTTCTTTTGTGAAGTCTGAAGTCTACTTCCGGTATTAGAATCTTCTAAAAAATAAAAAAATATCAACTTTAAACTTGTTCTTGCGATTGACACAATTACCGTCGATGGTTGATTTTTTCAGAGTCTTTAGCAAATTGCTACATTTGCAAAGTCCCACTCTGTGCCACGTGTGGCTCTAGTTTTATTTATTTTTTTTTTTTTTGCAGTGCGTTCTTCGAAAAGTTTGCATTTTTCACCATCGAAATTTTACAAAAATTCAAGCACTATTTGGGACAATATCTGATAGAGTCTTTGAATGGCATTTAGCAATTGTGAGTACGATATATAGACACAGCTTTATGGAACAACAATCACTGGTTAAAGTTTTATGCAACGTTTCGACGTGTTTCCCCCGTCGTCCTCAGGCACATAATGAGAAGAAGTGATGGGCAAACTATATATACATTAATGCTTATTATTAAGAACACACAAGAGAAAATGGTTTAATGATACATTACATTAAATTTTAACAGGTACAATAAGAGGTATATAATTCTTAAAATAACATACAGGCTGATTAAGTAAAATAATTGAAGTAAAGTAAATGAATTAAAAAAGATTAATTGAAGATTAAATAAACAACTATTGCTGGTATTGGAGTCTTTTATTAATAGAAATTACATTGTTCATATAACTAACTATGCTTAAAGTTGGAAATTGTTTTTGAATATGAATAATTACAAGTTGATAAGTTTATCATATGCATGCGATAAACGAACACCTTCATCTCTGTTAAGGTCAGGCTGATATCTTCTGATGTGGATAGCTTCATGAAGTCTCCTGGTTTTATCTATGTGCTTATTGATTGTCAGTATGTTGGTGTTGTCAAAGTTGACTTTACTGCAAAGTCCCAGTTTGTTATCGAAATGTCCATTCTTTTTTTTTTTTCTTCGAAATTTACACACCTTCCTGAGCCTAAACTGCAGTAGTTGCAGCAACCATTCAACTTCTCTAGACCTTCTGTAGTGGCAACGTGTTCCTTAAATATATACTGGAACATTTTTGCAAAACTGAAAGTGCCACAGTTCAACATGTGCAAAAAGTCGAAAATCGGCTCTAGAAGGCGTATTTTTGCATCGATTTTCTTCGGGTTTTCATTTTTACAAACTTCCTTTAATTTCTGACCTGATAGCACTTGAAAAATTACGAAATTCGAGAATTCGTAGCTCACTTTTTTCGATCAAATTTTTCGATTTTTTTGCATTTGTGCCACGAGTGGCTCTAGTTTTTTTTTCGATTTTTACACACCTTCCTGAGCTAAGACTACAATAGTTGCAGCAACCATTCAACATTCACGAACCTTAGATATAGGCGACGATGTGCATAAATATAATTTGGATCTTTTTTGCAAAACCGGAAGTACCACAGTTCAATATGTGCAAGAATAGATAATCGGCTC